TTTTTTTCTCCCAAAACGATAGAACAGCTATTTCCATTTTAAAATGTTATGGGATGCATTTTCTCCATTGTTTTTTATGGTAGGCCACTCTGATAGGTCGACATTATGATCAAATAGCCACAGTAGCCTACTTGGCCACTGTTAAAACTGTAACTTAAAGAGGGTACAGCCTCAGTGTTCACAGTAAACGCAAGCCGGAAGTTGCACAGAATTTTCACAAAGTTCAAGTTTGAGCTCAGCAGACCTGAAATTTGCTCAGTACTGACGTTTTTTTGAGGGAACATTTGTGTAGAGCTTAACTGGCTTACATAGGCTGTGCATGAGTTTCAAGTTTGGGGAAGATCATTTTCACCTTAAAAATGCACCTTTATAATAAAGCATTACATGCATAATCGCATTTGCCATCACTTTCGAGAACAGTGTTTTCCCTCTAACTGATTGCATTTCGGAACATTCGCGCTTATAGCCTACTGCCGTGTGTGCATTGCTGCGCTTATAATGTGAACAAATAGCCTAATAGTTCATCAACATTTTAAGCTAAACGTTCTGATCTGTTGCATCAGCCTCATTGCTTTTCAAAGTTGTTTTGATGCGAGTGGTTGTATTAATTTGGGATCTATCGCATCCCACAACTGTCCCAGAGTATGTTTGGAATATTTATTTATTGCGCAGAAGGACAAATTGACCAATAGAATAGGTCAACTTTTGTACTATGCGGGATAGTAGATTGACATGGGCTAGTGTTTTTGCTGTTCTCATATTGTTGGCTGACGAAAAGTAGGCTAAATGTGGACAGTTCTAACACCTTCAATATGCGAATATATATCAGAATTCGATAGGAGGGACGCGCGCAGTTGCGTCCCCGATGTGTCTGTCTTCATTCACTTGTAGCCTACTTCTTAACTGAAATGCCTGTGAGAAGGACCCGATCACGTGACGTGCATTTGGCTACCACGAATTGAGATATCTGAGAGAGCCATGTGAGTGAGAGGTGCTTCGGAGCGCGGTAGCCGTTAGAAGGGAATTATAATTATTATATCCAGCCCAAGGGCACAACGGCCAATTTGGCCGCAAAAGGCATGGATTTTTTAGGGGGCATTACATCCACACAAGGGGGATGCCGCCGGGAAATGAAGGGCTGTTGAGAATATTATCAAGAGCTTGTCAAATTGTGAATGAGAGACTGATGAATTGTGTGCAGCTTGCAACTTTTTTTTCAAATCATCATTAGAGTTCCATCATGCAGCCTTAGAATGTATAAAAATATAAACATATAGTCCAACATTTGTATCACAACTAAAGTTGCATAAATAACTCATACATTAAGCATATAGGAGGACCTGTTTCTTTGTTAACCACTCAACACAGAATAGCTGCATGTGCGCACTCCCTCAAATCGTTTGGAGAAAATATCCTTTCTATTTTATTAAGTATGTTCAATTGTATTCGTCATGCTATAAAATAAAAATAAAATCTTGTCTGCTAAATAAACTAGTGTATCTCACAGCCATATGGCATAGCCACATCAGGGCCTAACATAAGGACAACTCAGAGTATGCTATTCTGACATTTTCATCATATCATGTTTCTTTAGACCTGTCTAAAATTAGTAATGGATTCATTGTGATGGTGTAGGCTATATTAAATGGATTTATTTCACTTTTAAAATGTAGCATCAGTGGCTTGTAGGCTATGCGTGGAAGCCAGGAGATGCTAAAGGTGTTTATGTTAACCGGTAGTTATTTGCTTAACAATCAATAGCTGACAAAATGTAATGACCGCTACAGCCCTAGTCCTTGCACCAATAGTCCAGCCTCATTCCTCAGTTGTTTACCAAGTCAGTGGCGGGGTGGACGCTTTGTTTATGTTTGAAGTGCATATTGCCGCTTTAATACTTCTGAATATGTGTGTGAGAGAGCTTTCTTAGTTGTTACCTGAGTGATGGGTCTTAATCTTCACTCTCCTCGTTGCTCTGTTCTGATTTTCTTCAATAATCTTGTTTAATTCAATAACCTGGTCGTTTATGTAGTCATCCATCTGAACTGACTGTATGATTACCTTTCTATCTGACTCCTAATGGTAATATCTACTGTATGATTACCTTTCTAACTGACTCCTAATGGTAATATCTACTTTATGATTACCTTTCTAACTGACTCCTAATGGTAATATGTACTGTATGATTACCTTTCTAACTGACTCCTAATGGTAATATCTACTGTATGATTACCTTTCTAACTGACTCCTAATGGTAATATCTACTGTATGATTACCTTTCTAACTGACTCCTAATGGTAATATCTGCTGTATGATTCTAGCTTCCCACTGACAAGTAGTTGAGTAGTTGGTCTAATGTGCATATCCACCAAGTACCTATCTGCTCTCTGTCTGTGGTTCACTACAGTTGCTAGAATGTTTTAAGTATCCAATCAACATCAAGCAGGAAGTTAAATTTTGCAAGGCCTGTTTGTGTCATCGGTCATAAGGAAGTCATGTTATTTCTTGTACTCTGTGACCGGCCATCGATGGCCATATAGGGTCCTTATTTTTCTATGTATGCTGTCTGTGTGTGACATCAGTGGGAGGAGTTATTCAGAAGTGGTGGAGGAAATCTATATCTGGATCTTTAACAGATGTTTAAAAAGGGGACATTTACGTGCGTGTGTGTGTGATGTGTTTGTGTGTGTGTGGATGCTTGAGTGCCTGCGTATGTGGCTAACTTTGGTTTGTTTCCTCTTAGTACTATTCTACCCTCTGTCGTGTTCAGGTCACATCCACTCTGGTAGTGGTATTAATGTTGATATCTGACGGTATTTAACCCTGTAGGTACTGGTATTAACCATGATATCTGACTGTATTTAACCCTGTAGGTACTGGTATCAACCATGATATCTGACTGTTTTTAACCTTGTAGGTACGGGTATTAACCATGATATCTGACTGTTTTTAACCCTGTAGGTACTGGTATTAACCATGATATCTGACTGTTTTTAACCCTGTAGGTACTGGTATTAACCATGATATCTGACTGTTTTTAACCTTGTAGGTACTGGTATTAACCATGATATCTGACTGTTTTTAACCCTGTAGGTACTGGTATTAACCATGATATCTGACTGTTTTTAACCCTGTAGGTACTGGTATTAACCATGATATCTGACTGTTTTTAACCTTGTAGGTACTGGTATTAACCATGATATCTGACTGTTTTTAACCCTGTAGGTACTGCTTTGACAAACAGCCTGATAATGCAGGTCCTACTGGGAATGAGGACTGTGCTGAGATATACAAAGATCAGCGTCCTCTAAAGGCATGGAATTACATGTCATGTGACAACAAACTCAATTGGATTTGTCAGAAAGTGGTTTAACATCACCATGACAACATACTGTAACACATACAGTAGCCTACAGTGCACACAACTTCCTGCTTCTCTCTCTCTCTCTCTCTCTCTCTCTCTCTCTCTCTCTCTCTCTCTCTCTCTCTCTCTCTCTCTCTCTCTCTCTCTCTCAAACCCACAAACACACTTATTGTTGCATTTGTTTGCAGTATCATATTAATACAAGTCCTACTAATTTCCTGCTTGTAGCTTCCTGTGTACCAGTAGTTATGTTTCACACATCATCAGATGTTTGTACATTTGTTAGTACATGTGACTTTTTGCACACTCTACATGTGGTGCATTTCATCAATTACAATTCAAATACATTCTTCTTACTTGCTACATATATATACATGCTCCCATTTAGGTCTGGTGCAAACATTCTCAACCCTACCAAACCACCATTATATACACTGTATAGGAGTGTAGTAGAGATATCAAAGGATGTTGCTTAATAATCTTTGACAGTGAGTCTTTGTTGTCAAGTTACAAACAGTTGAAGTCGGAAGTTTACATACACCTTAGCCAAATACATTTAAACTCAGATTTTCACAATTACTGACATTTAATACTAGTAAAAAGTCCCTGTCTAAGGTCAGTTAGGATCACCACTTTATTTTAAGAATGTGAAATGTCAGAATAATAGTAGAGAATTCTCACGTCCTCTCTCCTCCCCTCCTTCTCAAAACACATTGGAGAATACAATCCTAGGGAAGGGACCTTGGACTTTCTCCTCTAATAGGGTTGAGAAGGAGGAGAGGAGGAATGGAGATAGATGGAGAGGAGAGGAGATATGAGGAGAGGAGATATGAAGAGAAAAGATGTGAGGAGAGGAGATAGGAGGAGAGGAGATAGGAGGAGAGGAGATAGGAGGAGATAGCAGGAGAGGAGATAGAAGGAGAGGAGATAGGAGGGGTGGAATATGAGGAGAGGAGATAGGATGAGAGGAGATAGGAGGGGAGGAGATAGGAGGAGAGGAGATAGAATGAGAGGAGAGAGGAGGAGAGGAGAGGAGAGGAGATGGGAATAGAAGAGATGGGAGGAGAGGAGATATGAGGAGAGGAGATAGGAGGAGAGGAGATAGGAGGAGAGGAATCTAGGAAAGACTAATTGAGTTAGAGCCTTACTGTCAGAGAGACATAGAAGAGGAAGAACAACATTAAGAGAATGAGGAAGAGAGAAAGAATAAGACTAATAATAGTTGTGTTTAGATTTAGAGGAGAGGATGTAGACATACTGTACTCTGGAAAATGACTCTTCATTATTTTATTACAAACATGTCATGTGATTTGCCATAGGCTTATGCTTATAAAAACATTTTTTATAACAAAGGCACAGATTAATAAATAAAGGAACAATGTCCTTTAACAAGGTCTACCAGCTCCCTGATTGAATGTGATTGGATTCTTAAAACAGTGTGACCTGGACACACACAGAGGGCAGAACAGTACTGAGAGGACACACACACACACACATACACATACACACACACAAAAAAAAATATGCTAATGAAAGGTGAGAGTGACTCCCAATCTTCACTGTACAAGGGACAACGTGTAGGTGACCAATGGTAACACAATGCACAATGCACCAGTGGACCTGCCTGCTACATACACACTCACTCATGCATGGTGTCTAATGGGGTCTCCACCATCTCCCTCTCTGTTCTCTGTCTGGGGCCCACAGCAGGTGACAGGATGTTTCAAGGCTCTATCCACCAATAAGAAGGAGACTTGATATGTGTCCCAAATGGCACCATATTCTCTATATAGTGCACTACATAGGGAAATAGGGTGTACTTAGGGACGCAGGCTTGTAGACCAGACAGTTGTTTGTGATGTCCTCTTCATTCCTTGTTCATTCTGTTCCATGTCATCTTTCTTCCTATTTTTAATGTTTTTGGAAGGTTCTTTATGATCCAACCCTTAATTCTGGTGTTGTCCACCTATTCCGCTCCAGTCATTACCACGAGCCAATCCTCCCCAATGAAGGTGCACCAACCTCCTGTGACACACACACACACACACACACACACACACTTAACTAGACAAACATTAATACTATATAATCCCAAAATAATTGTGAAGTTTTGATGCTTTTTCTTCTGTGTGTCTCAGTTGGTAACAGCATACCACTGGGCACAGATGTCAGTTCAACGTCTGGTTTTGATTCACACTTGGTTCAGTTGTCAGCATTAGTGATGTAAGGTGTGTGTGTGTGTGTGTGTGTGTGTGTGTGTGTGTGTGTGTGTGTGTTCCTTTGCAGATGGAAGACCAATACTCTACAGGCTGGGTGCTGTGTGTTTTGGAGTGCTGTGTGTTCTACAAGTCACTCTCAACATCTCCCTGACGCTGGCTTTCTGTGAGTGAGCTGTGTCCCAAATGGAAACCTACTTCCCTTTAGTGCACTACTTTTGACCAGAATAGGCTGCCAGGAATAGGGTGCAATTTGGGACATAACCTGTACTTCATTATCACACTACAGCAAGTAACACAATTCAGATGAGACTTGACATTACATAGCTAGTTGGACTTGTAGTTTGAAACACACAAAACAACTGTAGGCAACATCCATAGAGAATTGAGATCTAGGATCCACTTCCCCTCCCCCATTCCTACCCTTAATCGTTTAGTGGTGGAAAAACTAACCCAAGATCAGCGTATAGGGGAAACATCTTCCTATTCCAAATGTTTTATTTTAGCCCACTCCACAGAAGAGAGAGACCAGTTAGAGGCCTGTTATAACACCACTGGCCTGTCGCAAGACAGAGACCAGCCAGATACCAGTAGTGGTATCACTGACCTGTGTACAGACAGAGACCAGCCAGATACCAGTAGTGGTATCACTGACCTGTGTACAGACAGAGACCAGCCAGATACCAGTAGTGGTATCATTGACCTGTGTACAGAGAGAGACAAGCTGCTGAAGGAGAGAGACCAGTGCCGGCAGAACAGAAACCAGCTAGAGAAAGGGATAGAACAGTTCCTGAGGGAGAGAGACCAGTTACAGAGGGAGAGAGACCAGTATCAGAAGAACATAAACCAGCTAGAGAGGGGGTATAATGATTATTTTTGGGGGGGTGGGGTAGGGGGAGGGTAGAATGATTACTTTTATCCTATCCCAGGTATTCCTTAAAGAGGTGGGGTTTCAAGTGTCTCCGGAAGGTGGTGAGTGACTCCGCTGTCCTGGCGTCGTGAGGGAGCTTGTTCCACCATTGGGGTGCCAGAGCAGCGAACAATTTTGACTGGGCTGAGTGGGAACTGTGCTTCCGCAGAGGTAGGGGGGCCAGCAGGCCAGAGGTGGATGAACGCAATGCCCTCGTTTGGGTGTAGGGACTGATCAGAGCCTGAAGGTACGGAGGTGCCGTTCCCCTCACAGTTCCGTAGGCAAGCAACATGGTCTTGTAGCAGATGCGGGCTTCAACTGGAAGCCAGTGGAGTGTGCGGAGGAGCGGGGTGACGTGAGAGAACTTGGGAAGGTTGAACACCAGACGGGCTGCAGCATTCTGGATGAGTTGTAGGGGTTTAATGGCACAGGCAGGGAGCCCTGCCAACATTGAGTTGCAGTAATCCACACGGAAGATGACAAGTGCCTGGATTAGGACCTGTGCCGCTTCCTGTGTAAGGTAGGGTCGTACTCTGCGAATGTTGTAGAGCATGAACCTACAGGATCGGGTCACCGCTTTGATGTTAGCGGAGAACGACAGAGTGTTGTCCAGGGTCACGCCAAGGTTCTTTGCACTCTGGGAGGAGGACACCACGGAGTTGTCAACCGTGATTGCGAGTTCATGGAGAGGGCAGTCCTTCCCCGGGAGGAAGAGCAGCTCCGTCTTGCCGTGGTTAAGCTTGAGGTGGTGATCCGTCATCCACACTGATATGTCTGCCAGACATGCAGAGATGCGATTCGCCACCTGGTTATCAGAAGGGGGAAAGGAGAAGATTAATTGTGTGTCGTCTGCGTAGCAATGATAGGAGAAACCATGTGAGGATATGACAGAGCCAAGTGACTTGGTGTATAGAGAGAATAGGAGAGGACCTAGAACTGAGCACTGGGGGACACCAGTGGTGAGAGCACGTGGTGCGGAGACAGCTTCTCGTCACGCCACTTGGTAGGAGCGACCGGTCAGGTAGGACGCAATCCAGGAGTGAGCCGCGCCGGAGATGCCCAGCTCGGAGAGGGTGGAGAGGAGGATCTGATGGTTCACAGTATCAAAGGCAGCAGACAGGTCTAGAAGGACAAGAGCAGAGGAGAGAGAGTTAGCTTTAGCAGTGCGGAGAGCCTCCGTGACACAGAGAAGAGCAGTCTCAGTTGAATGACCAGTCCTGAAACCTGACTGGTTTGGATCAAGAAGGTCATTCTGAGAGAGATAGCAGGAGAGTTGGCTAAAGACGGCACGCTCAATAGTTTTGGAAAGAAAAGAAAGAAGGGATACTGGTCTGTAGTTGTTGACATCAGAGGGATCGAGTGTTGGTTTTTTGAGAAGGGGTGCAACTCTCGCTCTCTTGAAGACGGAAGGGACATAGCCAGCGGTCAAGGATGAGTTGATCAGCGAGGTGAGTTAGGGGAGAAGGTCACCAGAGATGGTCTGGAGAAGAGAGGAGGGGATGGGGTCAAGCGGGCAGGTTGTTGGGCGGCCTGCAGTGGGGAGAGAGGGGAGAAAGAAGTCAATGCATAGGGTAGGGCAGTGTGAGTAGGACCAGCAGTGTCATTAGACTTAACAAACGAGGATCGGATGTCGTCAACCTTCTTTTCAAAGTGGTTGACGAAGTCATCCACAGAGAGAGAGGAGGGGGGTGGGATTCAGCAGGGAGGAGAATGTTGCAAAGAGCTTCCTAGGGTTAGAGGCAGGTGCTTGGAATTTAGAGTGGTAGAAAGTGGCCTTAGCAGCAGAAACAGATGAAGAAAATGTAGAGAGGAGGGAGTGAAAAGATGCCAGGTCGGCAGGGAGTTTAGTTTTCTTCAATTTCCGCTCCGCTGCCCGGAGCTCTGTTCTGTGAGCTCGCAATGAGTCATCAAGCCACGGAGCTGGAGGGGAGGACCGAGCCGGCCGGGAGGATAGGGGACACAGAGAGTCAAAGGATGCAGAAAGGGAGGAGAGGAGGGTTGAGGAGGCAGAATCAGGAGATTGGAGGGAGAAGGTTTGAGCAGAGGGAAGAGATGATAGGATGGAAGAGGAGAGAGTAGTGGGAGAGAGAGAGCGAAGGTTGCGGCGGCGCATTACCATCTGTGTAGGGGCATCTTGTCCATAGTATATCTCAACACAGTCCTCTTGCCCTCTAGCATCAGACTGTCCTGCCCCCCAGTACCTAAACACAGAGATCCAGACAGTCAGACATTGTGGTACAAACATCCTTCTGAATTATTCACACAGTCCTATGTTTTCTCATCTTTAAAGCCACAATCTGTAAGATGAGCATTCCATTATCAACAGTGGGCCATCAACACATTTTTTTGGTTTTACTCTTTCGATTACATTTTCATATGTAAATTCTACCTGGTTTCTATAACACATCTATAGTTCTTACTGAATGACATTCGAGTCGAAACATACATTTTTATGAACATGATTGGAAGCAATATATCATTGTTGATGTTTTTATCTCCATATCACAAGCCAAAATGGTAAAATCTCTCACCCTTTGGTCAGTGATGCGCCATCCACCCATTTCCAGGTCCCCTCAGTAACAGAATCAGTCAGACCAATCCAGGCTCTCAGGTGGAGGTTGAAGAGAAATGTCTGTTTTTGAGAAAGATAAAAAACAGTCACTTTTAATATATTTATAAGATACTGCCCACATATTAGTGTGCTGATGAAAATTATACTTGCTCCACCACCCACCTCTCTCTCTCTCTCTCTCTCTCTCTATATCTCTCTCTCTCTCTCTCTCTCTCTCTCTCTCTCTCTCTCTCTCTCTCTCTCTCTCTCTCTCTCTCTCTCTCTCTCTGTCTCTCTCTCTGTCTCTCACCTGTTCCTCTCTGCTGTTTATGATCACCAGGTCTGCTCCTCTCTCCAGACAGTCCTGTCTGCTCTCCTCCCAGGTTTTCTTCTCAGTGGAGAGGAAGTACGAACTGGAGTCAAAGTATCTCCATCCCCGCTGACAATGCTGCTCTGTTGAAGAGCAAAGGTGAACACATTGAGAAACTTAGCCAGTATCTCTATACTCATAAACCCATTGATATATATTTACTGTTGATTTTACTTCTACCTTATCACAGTTTATATCTCACCTTTCACAAAAATATTGCCTGAATATGGCCTTTCTCTTCAGTCAGGTTGTTGTAGCTGGTCTGTAGCTGGTCTCTCTCTTCAGGTGAGTTGATTTTATAAAGGGAAAATCTCTGGAACAAGTTGTTCCTTTTATCCTCATAATCTTTGATGGCTCTGTTATCTACAAAGTATAAACACATAGCTACTAGCTAAAACACCAGGTACATAGGCCTAGTAACCAGCACTTCTTACAAGTAGGTGATAAGCAATGAACTTGGACAAAAACTCACAGTGGACAGACAGGCCTATGATCCCAGCCAGTAGAACACACAGCAGCCCCAGACACACTGCAGCAACTAGGAAGGATCTCTTCCCTGAGCTATCAGGCTCTGTGGACACATACAAGAGACGTTTACGTTTGTGTGTGTGTGAGTATGTGTATGTGTGTGTGTGTGTGTGTGTGTGTTTGTGTGTGTATGTTTGTTACCTGAGTGCTGGTCTCCTGGTCAATTATTAGGAGCAGTGTCTGCTGTCTCTTCTCTCTTGGTGCTGGTCTCACCGTCTCTCAGGGTGTCTGCACTGACGTAGATATCCACAATCCTCTCCTCCATCTCACCTCTGTCAAACTTGACCTTCTCGGTCATATCTGGCTCAGCATAGATGGCCTCAGACATCTCCAACAACTTACTGTGTTTTCAGTCTATTCTCAGTTTCTGTTCCTATCGTTGCCCCTGTGTCTGTCTCTGTGCCTGTCACAAATGTACTAAATTCATGTTGACTCTGATGATGTGTGAAACATAACTACTGGTACACAGGAAACTACAAACAGGAAATAAGTAGGACTCATATTAATATGATACTACAAACAAATACCAAAATAAGTGTGTTTGTGGGTCAGAGAGAGAGAGAGAGAGAATGAAGGAGGAAGTTGTGTGCACTGTAGGCTACTGTATGTGTTACAGTATGTTGTCATTGTGATGTTAAACCACTTTCTCACAAATCCAGTTGAGTTTGCTGTCACATGACAAGTCATTCCATGCCTTTAGAGGACGCTGATCTTTGTGTATCTCAGCACAGTCCTCCTCCCCAGTAGGACCTGCATTACAGTTTTTTACAATCACTTTGGCACAAATTTCAAAACCTTGACGTCATTCTTCAAAACTCTAGACACAAAACTCACAACCAATGATCAAAATGCACATTTTTCAAAACTCTAACACTTTTTTCAATTGCTTGGATACAATACACACAAAACTAAGATCATTTGTTCATTTAACAAAAATCACCTGTTCAATATGACACAGCTTAACATCAAATAACTACTATTTCAAAAGGCAATTCACACATTACATTTCAGATGAGTGTCTATTCATTTCATTACAATTTATTTTATTTATTTATTTAACCTTTATTTAACCAGGTTAACCAGTTGAGAACAAGTTCTCATTTACAACTGCGACCTGGCCAAGATAAAGCAAAGCAGTGCGATAAAAACAACAACACAGAGTTACATATGGGGTAAAACAAAACAAAGTCAAAAATACAACAGAAATACATATATATACAGTGTGTGCAAATGTAGCAAGTTATGGAGGTAAGGCAATAAATAGGCTATAGTGCAAAATATTTACAATTAGTATTAACACTGGAATGATAGATGTGCAAGAGATGATGTGCAAATAGAGATACTGGGGTACAAATGAGCAAAATAAATAACAATATAGGGATGAGGTAGTTGGGCGGGCTAATTTCAGATGGGCTGTGTACAGGTGCAGTGATCGGTAAGGTGCTCTGACAACTGATGCTTAAAGTTAGTGAGGGAGATAAGTGTCTCCAGCTTCAGAGATTTTTGCAATTTGCGGCCAAAGGAGGTGTTGGCTTTGGGGATGACCAGTGAGATATACCTGCTGGAGCGCAGACTACGGGTGGGTGTTGCTATGGTGACCAATGAGCTAAGATAAGGCGGGGATTTGCCTAGCAGTGATTTATAGATGGCCTGGAGCCAGTGGGTTTGGTTACGAATATGTAGTGAGGACCAGCCAACAAGAGCGTACAGGTCACAGTGGTGGGTAGTATATGGGGCTTTGGAGACAAAATGGATGGCACTGTGATAGACTACATCCAATTTGCTGAGTAGAGTGTTGGAGGCTATTTTGTAAATGACATCGCCGAAGTCAAGGATCGGTAGGATAGTCAGTTTTACGAGGGCATGTTTGGCAGCATGAGTGAAGGAGGCTTTGTTGCGAAATAGGAAACCGATTCTAGATTTAACTTTGGATTGGAGATTCTTAATGTGAGTCTGGAAGGAGAGTTTACAGTCTAACCAGACACCTAGATATTTGTAGTTGTCCACATACTCTAGGTCAGACCCGTCGAGAGTAGTGATTCTAGTCGGGTGGGCGGGTGCAAGCAGAGTTCGGTTGAAGAGCATGCATTTAGTTTTACTAGTGTTTAAGAGCAGTTGGAGGCTACTGAAGGAGTGTTGTATGGCATTGAAGCTCGTTTGGAGGTTTGTTAACACAGTGTCCAATGAAGGGCCAGATGTATACAAAATGGTGTCGTCTGCGTAGAGGTGGATCTGAGAGTCACCAGCAGCAAGAGCGACGTCATTGATATACACAGAGAAAAGAGTCGGCCCAAGAATTGAACCCTGTGGCACCCCCATAGAGACTGCCATAGGTCCAGACAACAGGCCCTCCGATTTGACACATTGAACTCTATCTGAGAAGTAGTTGGTGAACCAGGCGAGGTTCACCAACTCGCCAATTATCCAACTATCAATTGATACAACTGCTCAAAATGCTAAGTAACTGTTGCATTACTCTTAATGCATAGTCGTATGGAAACAGACAAACAATATCCCATGTTTAGATCATGAAAGTTTCAAGATAAAGAGATTAATTGTCAACAATTAGCATGGAGCATGAACCAATTAGACAACATTATTTATGGATGGAATATTTCATCATCATTCTTTATCAGACACCGTTTCTATGGTCCCATGTACCACCTTTTCAGACTATTTACAGTATTGACAGTACTGCACTGTATGGATGCAGGCCCTTGTAATTGCTTCTCCAATTCTGCCAACTTGTTACTGATGATTGAGTACACATTGTGGAACTGGAATTGATTGGGATCCACTTGCAACAACATAGCGATACGTACTGTAACATGGAGCCGGCAGGTGATCCAGGTCACAATAGAGGTCAAGCAGTGGTGGGATGAAGATGAGGAAGACGTGTTGGTCAAAGGAATGGCAGGGGACAAGCACCCCTTCTGAGAGGTGGTCGTGGGCCTCGTTTGAGAGGTGTGGGGGAACGTGGTAGAGGACAAGGCCACGGACCAAGACAGCGGCAGCAACAGCAAAGAGTGTCCAATGAAATCCGAGCAATAGTTGTAGACCATGACATAAATCATGGCATGACAATGACTGAGGTGGCTACAATGATACAACCAAACCTCAAAAGGTCAACCGTGGCCTCAATAATTAGAACTTTCCGCAATGAGAACCGGTAAGTAGTCAGCATGCACTAAACATTATGCTTCTCTCAATTGTCAAATGACTGCATACCAATGTGTATCACAGAGTAGGTGATGTGACCAAGTGTCTTCTTACTGTAATGTTTCCTGTAGAATTGAGACTAGGCCAAATAGGGGAGGCAGAGGCAAAATTCTGACTGACCAACAAGAGCAGGCTGTGGTCAATTTGGTTCGGGCCAGAAATGATATTCGCCTTACAGAAATTTGCCAGCATATCTTGGATAATGAAGACATGTTTAACAATGTGGAATCCTTAAGTTTGCCGACTATTGCACGCATGCTGAAAAGGCACCAGGTGTCTTTAAAACAACTATACCGTGTGCCTTTTGAAAGAAATGCATACAGAGTGAAGCAAATGAGGACTGAGTATATTCAGGTATGTTCAGTTTCAAGATGGCTGTTGTAATAAAGTTCCCTAATAATTCTACATTATACAGTAATCAGTAAATCTCTTTCCAATATGTATTTTTAGAGGTTGATAGAGCTGGATGCTGATGACAACCATCACAAATTCATATATTTGGATGAGGCAGGCTTTAACCTGCCAAGACAAGGAGGAGAGGTCGGAATTTCATTGGCCAGCGGGCAACCATCCAAGTACCTGGACAACGTGGGGCCAACATTATAATGTGTGCGGCTACATCAGAAGATGGTGTGGTGGGACGCAGACCTCATATTGGGTCATATAATGCAGCTCTCCTTGTAACCTTCCTTGATGAGCTCGATCAGGTCTGTAGAGCTGATGGCGTGACCTATGTCATTGTGTGGGATAATGTCAGGTTCCACCATGCTCACATGGTGCAAGCATGGTTTCAGGCCCATGCACAATTTACCACCCTGTATTTACCCCCATACTCTCCTTTCCTTAACCCGATTGAGGAATTTTTCTCCACATGGAGATGGAAGGTTTATGATAGGCGCCCTCATGAACAAGTCACTCTTCTCCAGGCGATGGATGACGCATGCAATGACATCACGGCAGACCAGTGTCAGGCCTGGATTCGCCATGCCCGAAGTTTTTTCCAAGATGTTTGGCTAATGAAAACATCCATTGTGATGTAGATGAGAACCTGTGGCCAAATCCACAAGACAGAGTTGATGAAAATGTAGAAGTACAGTAATCACTCCTATGTTTTGCTTTTTACAGTACAAGCAAGCAAGTTGAGGAACACTGCATTTGATGTTTTACAGTACTGTATTGTTTTTCATCAATATATGTCAGATTTTGTTCAATGATTCCACTGTGTCTGTAGTATTCTCTCTACTACTGCAGTACTTTTACAGGGATGTATTTACATGTAGTACCATAATGAAACATATATCACCTATTTTGTACTACAATATTTAATGATTGTACGAACAATGACACAGTGAAACTATCGGTTGCTTGTGTGTGGGTGATCTAAATTAACGTTTAATTGGTATTTCACAATAAATTTGTTTTTTTAACGAATGATTGTGCAAGTGCAATATTTCTTTAAAGATATGAACGCACAATGCAATGTTTTGAACATTGGACAGCCTGTGTTACAAGTGACGACCGTTTTGAGTTTTGTGTCTAGAGTTTTGAAAAATGACGTCAAGGTTCTTGTCACGCCCTGGCTCTGGGGACACTGTTATGTTGAGCCAGGGTGTTTAATTCTATGTTAGTTTTTCTATGTTGGCCTGAGTGACTCCCAATCAGAGGCAACGAGTGTCAGCTGTCAGCTGGTTGTCTCTGACTGGGAGCCATATTTAACTGTCTATCTTTCACTTTGTGTTTGTGGTTTCTTGTTCTTGTTTGGTTTGTTTATGTAACCAGAGACATCACGTTTTCGTCTGTTATTTTGATCGTGTGATCATTC